AACAGACAGACAGACAGACAGACGCAGACAAATAAAAAACATATAAACTAGCTGAAAGACAAATAGAAAACACATTGATGGAATATTGGTAAAAAGAGGATAAATTTCTTTCTTTTTTTCACGAAAGAGAAAACAAAAGATGCAATTGCAGGGAAAACTTGAGAGAGAAACTTGGTGGAACTTAAACCAAACAGGTGAAAAGGTCACTGGCAGTCATTTAATGGTGGTGGTGTGCTGTTAAATTTCCCAGATTTCTTTATCATTATTACAATTACTATTATTATCATTATTATTATTAGTATTATTATTAGCAGTAGTAGTAGTAGTAGTAGTAGTAGTAGTAGTAGTAGTAGTATTAGTGGTAGTAATATTCATCTGATATTATATAATTTATGATTTACATTATTATTTTCATCATTGTTATCCATTATTAATACCACCATTGTTTTATCTATCATCCCTGTAGTCTTAAAGAAGGTTTGGGTCACCACTTCACCACCCGGAAATAAGAACAAGCAAACTATTTCCTCCTTCACCTGGCCATAGGTCTGTGTGAGTGAGCTTCTGCGAATATATGTGTTATTTTACGCCCTCTCTTGTCGAAAACAGCTTTACACTTTTCAATGAAGTTCTTTGAAGTTTGGAAGGTATAATCATCACCCCCTCAGAGTAACAGGGTGAAGGGTCAAAGGTCAAAGGTCACTGAAACTAGATGACTAGTCGAGGGGCCTTCAGAGAGCCCTTCCGTCCATCTTCGTGTTGGTGTTATGGTTCAGTAAAGTGGCTGGTCAAAAATGATCCAATCCTTGTAGACTCTAGTTCCAGTCAGTCAATTATTTAAGTATTTGGATTGGAGATTAATTAATTCCAACGGGCCTCAGTTCCAAGGGTTCCCAGCCGTAATGTGACTCAGCTCTATAGGTTTTTAGTCAGATGGGTCCGTAGTCTTAAGTACCCCTATTATAATGGGTCCCAGATTTAATGAGTCCCAATCTTAATGGGATCTAACGCAAATGGAACTCAATCCTAATACGTCCCTGGCCTAATGGGTCCGAATCCAAAAGAACCTTAAACCTAATGATTGTCGTCCCTAATGTTTCCCAATGCTTTTCAGCCAAAGTTGGGACCCAATAGCACAGGGGTCTCATAGAACCAGGGTCCAAATGACTAGTAATCGCTGAAGCTGTCGAGTGGTCTTATAGCGTGCTGGAATGACGAAAATTACATAGCTTAAAGATCTACACTGTGCACTACTTCATCAATGTGTGATCAATACTAATTACAAGCAGAAAAATGATGGATGTGCAAACACACCTTGGAATATGTGAAGGTCAGGTCGGCACGTGTTCAGCTTATGGTGATCTAGATTAAATATATCATGACAGGTGAATGAATTTAAGGTGATAATTCATATATAATAATAATAATAATAAAAATATTAATAATAATAATGATAATAATAATAATAATAATAATAATAATAATAATAATAATAATAATAATAATAATAATAATAATAATAATAATAATAATAATAATAATAATAATAATTCTAGTAATAGTAATAATAATAATTTCGAATTAAAAAATATCATATCTTATCAATATTTTTCAGAGGTCCATGTTTTCTCCCCATACCATTGCAATCATTCATACTAATAGTCTTACTCCAATGACTGAGCTAAAATAGAAATTCCTTCACGCACACGACTGTACACGCTGCACGCTGCTCTGTCACCCATACACAAGTGTCTAAGAGCATCGCTGTTCTTGACTCACACAGGGTAAGTCACCGCTCACACTCCTGACGTCTCTCTGTGCTAAAACTCGCTAAACTTCACTGAAATCACTCCCAAAAGTCTCATAATTTCAAAGATTTTTAGTAAACATGGTTAATAATCACTGAGATGTATTGTAATAATAAATTCATTCTAAAATCACAAATGTTTACACACATAAATCTAAAAATCTCCTACATTCCGTAATATTATTTTAAAAATCGCGAACATTGACTAAAATCAACCCCCCAAAATGTTACTCTGGGGACTCTGATGTTCGCTGGAATTGGCGACATTTCCGCTAAGCTGGCAACACTGAATACGGTACGATAACAATGGCAGCGCTTCCTGGTTTCGGAAAATGGAAAGAAACGAAGGAATTTCGACCTATTGTTAAAGGGAAAATAATTTTGTTTTTTAAGTCATAACTGTCAAATAATTATTTTTTATTTGACCATCAGTATGAAAAGTTATCGTGTATGAGTGTATAAGATAAGGTTATAGTGTGTGTATTAAAAAATAGAAGTTATTTACGAGTTGTCAAGGATGAGTGTATAGTACAGCCAACTAAGCTCTTCTTGTTTTAATATAACACACATTGTTTACCTTGATCTTCATAAAAAAACATCTGTTTCAGTAATTTTGTTTACCCCTATAACAATTTGTTTAGCTGATCGCAAAAGCATCTTCAGTAGAACCTCTGTTTAACGGATTATATGGAGAGGAAAATCCGTTATATCGAGGATCCGTTAGCTGTGAAACTTCCATCTGATTAAATATAGACATGAAAATCCGTTATATCGAGGATCTTTTCTATAGAACTCCCCCATATAACGGATTCTATGGAGAGATAAATCCGTTATATGGAGGTTTCACTTTTCTTCTTACCCTGAGTTTGATCACAGGAGAATGACCTTTTTCCCGGCCAGGTCACGGAGACGGCTGAATCCTTTGATGGTGAGGTCTGCAGCGAGCGTGACCTGTGTGTGTTTGGGGTGCGGTTTGCTCTGTGACTACCTGCCCCCAGTAACCATATAAAAACACGATAAATGGACCTATATAGCTTCCAATTGGTAGATGGAACCTTTGTTTATCCTGTGTGTTTGAGATCAACTTTTTTTTTGTCCACCCTTCCTCTTTGGCATCCCTCCCTACTATATTAATCCCTTCCCTTCCCTTCCCCCTTCCCTTCCCTCCCTTTCCCTTCCCTTCCCTCCCTTTCCCTTCCCTTCCCTTCCCTTCCTTTCCTACTTCACCTCCCCCTCCCCCGTTTCTTCCCTCTTCTCAAAATTCCACTTCAGGATATTCTCAACATAACTGCTACCTCCAATGTCCACTTATTTATGGTTATCTAGAATATATTCCGTTTTGTATATAGTTTTACAGATGGGGAAATTGAAGTGCAGTTGAGTTCACCGGAAAGATTAGTAGATAGTCCTTTGTAATAGAACGAAATGTTAATTATCCTTTATTGATAGAATTTGATCTTATGTACGTGTAAGGTTATTCAGAAATGAAGTGTGTGTGTGTGTGTGTGTGTGTGTGTGTGTGTGTGTGTGTGTGAGCAGCCAAGAGCGAGAGAACTATACAAGCTAGAGTCCTACACAACAAAATATATCTTCACTCACGGGTTGATAAACACACGAAACATTTGTGTACCGCCGCCAGCCACCAATTCTCCCCCTCCTCCTCCTCCTCCTCCCTCACAACCTGGCCCTCAACGCTTCAAGCAAAATTTAGTTTCTGTTTAGTTGTGTAGAACTTGGTGGTGAAATTATTGGGGTTAACCTATTGTAAAGATACTGTGGAAATTGTGGTTTCATGGTTCACACACACACACACACACACACACACACACACACACACACACACACACACACACACACACACACACACACACACACACACACACACACACACACACACACACACACACACACACACAGTATAATACAGAGCATAAATCTCTGTTAATTACCAAGTCTTATGTCTCCTTGTTCTGTTAGCCACGTGGTTATTGGTGACTGTTTTTACTGTGGCTATTGGATGCTTTTTGTCCATAATTTTTCTGGATATCAAAAGCCTTCATTTGCTATCTTGGTTTATCACTTAATTTTGTTTACAATTGTTCTAGCTATCAACTGACTCTGTTTACCGGTGTTTAGACTATCAATTGACTCTGTTTACCTTTGTTCTGGCTATCAACTGACTCTGTTTACCGTTGTTTGGACTATCAATTGACTCTGTTTACCTTTGTTCTGGCTATCAACTGACTCTGTTTACCGGTGTTTAGACTATCAACTGACTCTGTTTACCGTTGTTTGTCTTATCACCTAGTTCTTTTTACCGTTTTATCTCCATTAATTGGCTTTGTTTACCTTTTAAGCTATCACTTGGTCAACGATACGCGGATGTTATGGAAACTCTTGAAAGCAGTCATCCCGCTGTTTGTCCCAGGGGGTTTGTTGTGCATCACAGTAAGAAACAAAAACACTGCTTAATGGAATCTCTTTTTTTCTTCTCTCGGTACAACTATTTCGTGTTAAAGAGAGTCTGTCATGCAGCGTACCTGCAGGTGTTTTATTATTATTATTATTATTATTATTATTATTATTATTATTATTATTATTATTATTATTATTATAAGCGGAAGTTGAGAAAGTCTACGGATATCACCAACCACGTTTCACTTACTCCCCTGTTGTTGACCTTTGCTCATGCACAATATAATTATTATTATTATTATTATTATTATTATTATTATTATTATTATTATTATTATTATTATTATTATTATTATTATTATAATTATTATTATTATTATTATTATTATTATTATTATTATTATTATTATTATTATTATTATTACTATTATTATTATTATAAGCGGCAGTTGAGAAAGTCTACGGATATCACCAACCACGTTTCACTTACTCCCCTGTTGTTGACCTTTGCTCATGCACAATATAATTATTATTATTATTATTATTATTATTATTATTATTATTATTATTATTATTATTATTATTATTATTATTATTATTATTATTATTATTATTATTATTATTATTATTATTATTATTATTATTACGCCACTCACCTGTATCACTCATTCACCTGTCTCATTCACTCACCTGTCTCATTCACTCACCTGTCTCATTCACTCACCTGTCTCACTCACTTACCTGTCCAATTAACTCACCTGTATCGTGTTTCAGGGTTTCCGTGATGGGCTCGAGGTTGCTGGTGCTGCTGCTCGTAGTAGCCCTGGTCTCCCACACTCCTGCCCTCGCCGACCCCAACGTTGGTGAGTAGCCCGAACAGTAGCCCGTACAGTACCACGTATAGTAGCCCGTACAGTAGCCAGTAGAGTAGCCCTATAGTAGCCCCATAGTAGCCCCTATAGTAGCCCGCACGGTAGTCCGTATAGTAGTCCATAGAGTAGCCCTTAGAGTAGCCCGACACTTATTTATGTAGCCTTGTTTTATAGCCAAATCTTGTACCCTCGACCTCAACACACCTGTAAAATAGTCTTTCGAGAGCCAACACCTGTTCTGTACCTCGACTTGTAGCCCTACACCTTTCAAGAAAACCCTAACTTGTAGGTAACTCTATCTTGTTTGGTAGTCAAGAACTATAGCCTGATCCCTTCCTCACACCGTTAAGTAACTCTAAACGTAGCCTTTTATCCTATACTGCACCTCATACTACGGATATAAGGTACCACACACACATGTAACCTTATACCTATGTCTATCATCTATATCACCAAACCTCCAAAGCCGCCACACTGCCTCAAAATCACCTTTCAATTGTGACTCATTAGCATACCATAATATATCCAGGTAATAGGTAAACAGTCTCTTCATATGATAAAAGTTTTAAAATAGTTCTAGAAAATGTGAGAGAGTGATATTTTCATCCGTGTCGGCAGGGTTTATTTTTCATTATGAAGATGTGTTACTGGTTTTTTTTCCAGTTTTCAAGGGGTTTAGAAAGGAACTGTAGTGTGTGTGTTGTGTGTGTGTGTGTGTGTGTGTGTGTGTGTGTGTGTGTGTGTGTGTGTGTGTGTGTGTGTGTGTGTGTGTGTGTGTGTGTGTGTGTGTGTGTGTGTGTGTGTGTGTGTGTGTGTGTGTGTGTGTGTGTGTGTGTGTGTGTGTGTGTGTGTGTTATCTCGCGTGTAAAGACTGAACTAGAACGTTTTTACACTGCAATATTTTATCGAGGGTGAAAAAAAAAGTGCTCATGTGGAAAGTAACTCCAGATGGGATATCTTAAAGTGTTCAGCGGAGTAGCGCAAAGCCTTATTGTCCTTGGTAAAGCGAGGGAGGTACTATAATCGGTCTGACTGTGTGATATTTTCGTCCTTATTCTTAGAAGAGGAAATGTTTGTATGTACAGATATGGTTGGTGTTCTGAGAAAGGTTATTGGTAACGATGAGAGTACAAGAGACAGCATCAAGGTCGACCATAAGACGAGTATGGTTAATTCAGAGACCAGAAATAACAAATCATTAACAAAAACAAAGAAAATATATATGAAGGGAATTTAAAAAAAGATATAGGATAGTTATAAACCTTTGTCAATACTTATATATCAAAACAGAAACAAGATCTAGTCAATATACACTACAGCATCTGATATTTATGGCTCTGGCACTGTCATAGTTTCTCTCTCTCTCTCTCTCTCTCTCTCTCTCTCTCTCTCTCTCTCTCTCTCTCTCTCTCTCTCTCTCTCTCTCTCTCTCTCTCTCTCTCTCTCTCTCTCTCTCTCTCTCTCTCTCTCTCTCTCTCTCTCTCTCTCTCTCTATGATAAAGTCTTGGATGCCATAATCTTGACAATAATAACAGAAAATACCGAATTATCAAACACCTCTTGCATCGGAATTATTATATATCTACAAATCAAAAATTATTTAAAACAAACTTATTTATTTAACTGATCTTATTTACACTTCGTATAATGATCCTTAGTTACTTATTTAGAAATGCAGAAGACACAAATCCAAATTCTCATGCGTATTAAGGTGAAACACTTAGGCCTCCTCAGTGTAGCCTAAGTTGATAACGCGGAGTGAGAGTTAATGGAGACCAAAGAAGCTGAAATGGATAGCATGTGGCGCTAGATTATGTAGGATCAAGGGAAGATAAAAGAGGAGATTAACTATACCCTCAAAAAATATATACGACAAAAACTAAAAACAAAAAACAATAGACAAAACAAAACAAAAATAGGGAATATTCACATCTGGAAGAAATAGGGAAATGGGAAACGGGAATAAAAAGTCCTAGAATAAATAGGATCTTAAGAGAGAATCCATAAATGGTTTGAAAGAAGAAGAACACGAGAGTATATAAGAACCAGGAATAAGGAAATCTGAAGAAATGATGCGACACTTTGAAAGGGGAAAGAGGTGTTGGTCTCTGAGTTAAAAGATGTAGCGTTTGAGGCATTTTATGACCAGCAAGAGAGAAGGGGAGAAGAGAGAGAATGACTGATGGAAACACAAACAAAAAACGAGGTTGAGTAATGGAAGAGGTAGATGGAACAAGGGATGAAGAGAGAGAGAGAGGGATAGATACAAAATATTGAGTGAAAGTGTATGTATGTGTGTGTGTGTGTGTGTGTGTGTGTGTCTTGGTAGGGAAGGAGGGAGAGTGGGAGTTAAGTTATCAGTATGGATGTTGCTAAGGGAAGTATGATGCCTCGTCTTCACCATGATGGTTTGAGAAGATGCTGATGGTGTGATCCATAATTTAGCGCAAGAGGGTGTGGCTCCTGTGGCTCTCTCTCTCTCTCTCTCTCTGCTAGACGAGGAAGCTCTCATGAAACAGGGTGGGCATTATGTTACATACTGAGATCACCCCAAGCCGAGAAAATATGCAAAGGCAATATTCAGTTTGGGATTTGTGTTAAGGAAATAAGGGATATGTTTTACGTACATGGAGAGAGAAGGAGAGTAAAGGAGAGATAGAGAGAGAGGTATAGTAGAGAGAAACAAAAAGAGAGAAAATAAGAGAGGAAAACTACGTAAAAAAAATATTCTTCTAAGCTTGTATTTTTGCCATGGCCTATGACAAACCTTACTAAGTCCACATGTCAACACACACTGCAGTACCTCCTCGTCATCAGAAGTAACCCACACGTTAGGAAGCACACCAACGCTCATACCCATTACATAACTTTCAGAAAATATCCCAAACCCAATTCACTGAAGATATCAAACACTAATTCATAGAAAACGGAAATTCGTAACTTAAGAATAAATATGTAACTCAACTAGAACATTACCATTATCTTATTAATATATCTTAAGCACACTATTTGGAATATAGGAACGAGTTTATTATTTTATTTATTTCTGTAAAGTTCCATTCTCTGAGTTGTCTGATATGGTTTAAGGCGAGTCAGCATCTCCAAGTTGTAGTGTATTAAACGGTATGCACTACTCCCATACACCATAATACACCATAAAGTACTAAAACACTCATCACTACACCCACACACCATAAACATTACCCCAACACTAAATAATAGTTGCTAAGATTACACAACAAAAATAATAATACAAAAATGATAAACAAGAAAGGATTGTTAATGTTATCTGACGCCTGAGGTGATTTCCTGCCGAGGCTGTGATACATGACGTCATTGGCTTGTGTTTACCATGAGTCACGAAGGTCAAGACTGAGAGGAGTGACCCCAGGATGAGTGACCCCAGGATGAGTGACCCCAGGAGGAGTGACCCCGGCAGGAGGAGTGACCCCAATAGCATCTCCTGGGGTAATTAATTATCTATGGTGAAGATAATTCGAGAATGATATTGCAGCTATAAAGTTTGATAATAAGTGAAGATATTTAATAAAAAATACTCACAAGGAGATATTATCCGAATCGATAAATCTGAGGCCGATTCTTTAGTTAATTTCATAACGGCATTTTCATGATAATTCGGCGGCTATAATTCTGAAGTTTTCTCCAGAACGCCAATTTAGTCATAATTCACTCCGTATAATTATAAACGTGATTTGAGAAATATGATTATAGAAACCATTTACCAGGAAAGAAAAAAGATGAGGGTATAATTCTTATCTAAATTCAAGTATAATGACTGAATATTATCGCATGTCGATCATTTTGAGGATAATATATTTCCAGGATTATTTAAAACGAAAATATTTTATGGTATTCTCTCGTTCTCCTACACTATAAAATATTTACAAGTAATTGAAGATAAATTCGGAAATTTAGCTTGAGTGTCCTCCTTGGACACTCCATCTTCCTTGACGTTAATCAGGTGCAGATAAGAAGTTTACCAAACATCTTTTTTTCTTTTTAATCTCGAGGTAAAAATTTAGTCCAGTGAGACTTGGCCTGTGTTAGGGCCTGGTGGAGCGTGTGGAGTGACGATGTTTATTTTGTAGAAGATTAAAGTTAATTTAAATAAATAAGATGTTTAGTAACACATTAAAATAGTAATAATTATTTACGTTTTATTGGAAATGCAGCAGCCCACACCTGAAAATATGCAAAAGGCAACACCGGTATTGATATAGTATATACGGTATAGTGTATATAAAACATTACATGGTACTTCCACGTAACATTTCAAACCTTCACACGTCGTATTCGCACGGCAGCCAACAGTGTGTCGGGCGGGGGAGCTCCCTTACCAGTTTCTTAAAGAACACGGCTATCGATCGTAACCGAACACCCATTCATCTTATTAAAGGCAGCGTGGGTCTCAGAGGCGCCAGGCCTGGCCTACCTTACTTTACCTTACTTATAATAAGACGAATGAGTATTCGAATAGGTTCGTATAAACCAGTTCTTTATGTAACAGGTAGTTCCCGCTGGTCTGGTCCCTCTTGTCGAGGTTACATATGTTATGTGGATGTACTGTACTTTACCATATAATGCACTTATTCCTGTTATATATATAAAAATATATATATATATATATATATAAATAATTGAGATAAAAATGCATTTATACATGCATACAGGTACACTCATTTACATACACTTGCATAGATATTGGATATATATGCGTACATTGATCCTGGTCTGTGTATGTGTGTCTGTGTGTGTGTGCGTGTGTGTGTGTGTATATACATTGATATAGCTGTGTGTTTGTATGTAATTACCTGTCAATATCATGGGGGCGGTACATCACCGTCAACAAACGCGATCATCGATGTTGGCTGACCAGACGTAAATCTTATCTTACGGCCATCACGATTTACGACTATTGACGGAGGCGTTCTAGCTGGGCCATAGATCCTCAGACCCCTGGCATAACAGAT